GTTCCGGATGAGGTTTGGGACCTCATCATCGACGGACTGTTCTATGAGACATCGGGGGTGTTGACCTCTGGTGGTGACGTACCACCGGACCTAGACTTCGCCACCATCTGCTGCGGGTATGCCGACGGCTCGAGCATGGAGGACATCCAATCGCTCGGGGAGAGCTTGTTGCCACACGCAAAGTTGGTGGCCAAGCAAGTCTCCGCGCAGTGGGTGATGGATGCTCACCGTGTGGACATGGCCGCCAGCGTGCGTTAGGACATCGCCTAGCCTATGGATGGCGTGGAGCCTGGGTTGGAAGCGGGCGTCGCCCCACCTCCAACCGAGCCGAATGTTGCCCAGTCGGAGGACGAGTAGGCCCTTCCCTCGCCGGTCGAGCGGTAGTCGATGCCACCGAGGAGCCATAGTAGAAGTTTTAGAGTTGAAATACTTTAGCAAATGTAGAAGATAATGTCATGGAGGAGCCCCTTGTGTAAAGTGTTTTTGTGTATTCATGAATATAGTAACTTTGTTTTTGTGATGGAACTACTTCGTTTGGGGAAGCTTGTCCCATCCGTTCCTTATTTTTACCTTAGCATAACTTTGTTTTTTATTCTTTTCTTTTTTGCACCTACCCGTTCACAACATAGGCTGCAACCTTAAGAGCCCGGGTGTGGCCTACGAGGCTCAGCCGCTCGTAACCGTAGGAAGAGGCGGGGTGCGATCGGTCGGAATATTTAAAGAAAAGTTACGTAAGGTAATTAAAGGATGGACTACCCTTTCGTTCGGGGAAAATGTATTTTATCATATGATAGTAAAAAGAGAGGTGGCATTGCACCCCCATGGAGCTCTCGAGCGACCCGGGCCGAAAGTGTTCGGGTCGGGGCGCTCTATAGGAGCAAACGTTAAGTTAAAAATGATAAGACTGAATTTTAGGGGAAGAAACGACATAGCTGTTCACTATTCCAAGTGTTGGTGAGAACGTTGCCGTTGTTGTCCTTTAGTCAGGTAGGCATCCGGTTAGATCACCTTAGTCGCCATATAGGGACCTTCAGTCATCCGGATCCATGCCCGCTACGCCCCCTTTCTTGGCCGCTACTTCTTTGCCTTTTTCTTCCTTCGGCCCGCTGGCCTGTCGTAGAAGGCGCTTGAGGAGCTCGCAATCCTTGTAGAGGTGTTTGACGGGGTAGGCATGGTTGGTGCATGGGCTCTCCATGAGCTCATTGAAGTGGTCCGGAAGGCCCTGCTGGGGCTACTTGCCGTGTGATCAACCGCGGCAACCAATGCGGAGTTGGCCGGTTGGCGATGATCTTTTTTGTTCTTTTTGCCCCTCTGCGTGGAGGGGCCCTCGTCCTAATCCTCATGCTTGGCCTTGCCTTTGTCATGGCCTCCGTTAAAGCGTTGTAGGAACGGCGCTCTTGGATGCATAGGCCAAAGGCCCATGGTCCCGGCCATCCGGGCTGGGACTCTAGTCGTCCGACCGGTGACCACGCCTGGGGTGCGTTTCACCACTCATCGTGATGGTCCGGCTAGGGTCCGTGTCACCTACCATCACTGTCGCTCAATGGACGTCATCATCATGCCAGGACCGATGCCGGTTGCTGATGACGCTGTGAGCGTCTTGGTTCGGCCTGAGGTGCTCGCGTACAGGTGGTCGGTGCGGAGCGGGCGCCAAGTCAGGCTGAGGCATAGATGTGGCCTCTTGTGCCGCGCTCGACGGCTGTAGTGGTGAGCGAGTGGTGCAATTGTCTGGTGCGCCCCCACTCCCCTGGTGGGGAGAGAGGCCGTGAGTCGGTGTCATGATGCGGAGCTCACCGCCTATTGAACGGCGCGGTTTCCACTAGTGCCCGAAGGTTTCGGTGGATCGCCTGTTCCTAGGGGTCGTTCGGCTCGGGAAGGCCGCGCAGAAGCATTGCCGCAGTGGTGATGTTCTGGCTAGCCCGAGTGAACTGTGGGGGATCGTTCCCCCCGTCTATGATGTTGCGCTGGACCTGGCGAGCGCGACCCCAGGCGCCGCTCATCGGGTTATGTGCACGGGGCGTAGTGTGGTGCGCCGAGCGCGTCGGCGTAGGTGGCGGTTGGTTCTGCCACCGTTGCCATAGCTCCTCACCATGCTCTCGTGTGAGCGCGAGGGTCCCCGCATGAGGGTCTGGAGGGGTGTGAGTCTGCAATGACTCCGCTACCACCGGCGGCTATCCCAGAGCGTCCGCCATAGCGCACTCTCGGGACGGACGGTAGCTAGGTGCCACGTCGCCAATGCTGGAGTCGTCACTCTCAACATCGTCATCTATGAGGTCGAGGAAATAGGTGGGAGCATAGCTCGCCATCCCCACGAATTCGGACGTGAGAGGGGATGGCGCCAGCATCCTTCGGGGCCCTCGGGCGTACACATCCGTAGGGGACGCGAGGCTATATGGGAACCGGTCGCATGGCGGTCGCGGTAGGGACAACGGGATCCCTCCAGATAATCGGTAGAAGATAGTAAATAGCGAGTAAATAACAATATGTACATTACTCACAGCGGGGTTTGAGCAGAGTGTTTGCTCAGAATGAAGCGTAGGCGCCTCGTCGTTGAAGTTGTTGGGTGTCCCGGAGCCGACGGAGGGCGCCCCTCCGATGGGCACCGAGATGGTTGCCTTCTCACGGAGGTGTAGTATCGCCGAGCTGGTCGACGACGAAGTCTAAGCTTCCGAAGAGGAAGGCCTGGGATGGCTCAAAGATAGGTGGAATCCGCATCCCAACAGGTGGGAGTGCGGGAAACTCCAGTGAGCCGAAGCGAGTCATATCGCTTGAGCCCGCCATGGCAAAGGTGGTGGAAAAGTGGGCCATTCGATGACCAAAAAGTGTGAACGTACAGTGTCCTCCCCATGGACGGCACCAACTGTCGATGCAGAAAGTGACCAACATGTAAATATTTGTAGTTTTGCTATACGTTGTGATCGGAGGTGGCCTAGCACTTAATGACACAGGGTTTATACTAGTTCAGGCAACGTGCCATATGTCTAGTTTGAGTCGGTCGGTGACTTTATTCTTGAGCCTAGGTGCTCGAAGTTTGCTATGGGGTTACAAACGGAAGGGAGAAAGATGGGGGTACAAGAGGTTCGGTCGGACTCTGGTCTAAAGGGACGAGAGTGACGGGAGCTCCACTATGTGCTAAGTGTTCGAGCGTGTGCTCTGTATAACTTTAGAGTGTTTAAAGTTACAGAGGGTGAATCAATGTAAGTGAACTGAGAGCTCTCCCCGGTTGGGAGAGGGTGCATCCTCTTTTATAGATGAAGGGGACGACCTTACAAGTGAGAGAGAAATAATACGTATGCTACTAAGTCTTGTTGCCCACGCCGATGGGTACTAGATAATGGTAGGCGTCCACAATACTGTTTAATGTCAGATGCACGTGGAAGATTGCGTCGTCTTCTTCTGGTATGGCAGACGTCGGTGCCTGCCATACTGTTGATGCCAGAGGCATGTAGGGGGTTTTACCATGTTCGCCTGGTACGGTAAATGCTGGCGCCCACAACACTGTTGATGCCTAGAGGCATGTGGCAGGAGCTTTACTGTGTTTGTCTGGTATGGGAGTTGATGGCGCCCACAACACTGTAGGGAAAATGTCGGCGGCTACAACACTGCTTGGGTTCTGTCATGCCAGGAAGGTCGCAGGGTACTATCCTGTAAGTGCATAGGGTACGGTCTTTGGTATTGCCGTTGACTTGAGTTTCCTGCCTTACTTTCTCTGTCCGTTTCCTGGTCCTTACCGAGCGGGCGTCCCCGGTCGGTTGGTCCTAGTCGGCTCTGATTGCGTCAGTTGGAGAAGAGCTGTGAACAGGAGTTCGGCGCATCCCCAGTTGGAGACTCGGGTCGGAGTCGGAAGTGGTATTTGGCCAGGCCTTCCGGTCGAAGAGGCTGTCCGGAGGCGGGCCGGAGTCGGAAGCGAGCGTTGTTCCTCCTTAGCGAGGCCTTCCGGTCGGAGATGTGGCCGGAGTCGGAAGCGGACGCCGTTCCTCTTTGGCCAGGCCTTCCAGTCGGAGATTGGATCGCCCTTCTGACCTGTCGTTTAGGTATTTGGACCGGCCCATGAGTTTGCGCGTCGTTCGCAAGGTTGTCTGCTGGGCCGAGTCTTTGTTGAAAAGCCGGTTCGAGAGAGACCCCGGGTTCATGGACCCGACACCTACACTACAAGAGGATTTTGAGATGTAGTTCTTTTTATTTAGGCCAGTCTCAATGGAGAGTTTTATTGTGTTGTTTCCAAGACTATCATGTCACATAGAATGAAATGAAACTCGGATGAAACACCCACTCTCAATGTAAAATTTTATTTCATGGTTTCATTGGCATTTAATTCTAAGACTCATAGAGGGTTGGTAATTATGCCAAGAGAGTTTCATACCCATGAAACTCATTTATTCTCTTTCTTTATTAAAACATTGCCATGTCATAAAAAATATATACGTGGTAGCCTTTTAAATGCAAATGAAACTCTCGTGAAACTCCTACTGAAATTGGCCTTAAGAGGTAGGCTGTTTATTCACCAAAACTATATTCCTATGATCCTATCAATACCAAAATCTATATATGTTGTACGTATATGTATTTGAGTGTGTGCCTATTCATAAATGTATTTATATAAACAGAATTTCTACTGAAATCTTTAATGTTCTCCTGACTAAACTTCACATTACACAACATGGCATCACAGAAGGACCATAGAAGTTTCACATCTCTTGTTTAACAGGGGCCCACAGCAGATAGCCCACTAACCTTACTTTCAGAATCCGCCACCATACCTCTAATTCGTAATGGGCCAGTTTTTACTCCTAGAACCACCCTTGCAACGGGCCTAAATTTCGGCCTACTTATACAATGGTTCTGTTTGCTATCAGTACTGGGAAATACCCGGTTCCCCGTGGGCCCGGGGGTACGCCACCGATGCCCCACTCACCAGGCCAGCGAGTGTGGGCATTGGGCAACCGCGGCCACCGACTAGTGGGCCCCACACGTCAGCCCCACGATCCGCTTCCCATCTGATGCTCCTGCTCCGCCGCGTCTTCTTCCTCCTCTCGTCGCCCTCGCCTCGCGCGCCGCTCGCAGAACCTCTCCTGCTCCGACGCCCGCCCAAAACCCTAGCCCCGACAGCGCGGCAGCTCGTGGCTATGGCTGCGCCTGCCCCGTCGGCGGGTGGGGCGGGGACGATGAGCCGGGACGCGTTCCGCGCAGCCGTGACCAACACGCTGGAGCGCCGGCTCTTCTTCGTGCCCTCCTTCAAGATCTACGGCGGCGTCGCGGGGCTCTACGACTACGGCCCCCCAGGTTGCGCCGTCAAAGCTAACGTCCTCGCTTTCTGGCGCCAGGTACTGTACTACTACACCGCAGATAGATACCGAGCTACCTAGCTCTCTTACTTGGTACGTTCGAGGCAAAGGCGTCACATTTTTCAGTTTTTGATTGATTCTGGATTGACGCGAAAGAGGGCAGCTGCTAGAGTGCTGGGTGCTGGATTTTGATCTACTTGCTCTGATCTCGACTAGAAGGTTGGCTGGGCCTTTGTTTGCGATGGTGTACCTTCGCTGTGCCGTGTTGGATTTGCACGTCGACATGTGTGGTGTGGTATCAGTTGATTGCTGAAATTGGCTACCTACCTTTTAGTGAAAGGGAAAGGTGGCTACTGGATGCGCTAGCACCCAAACTATGCTTGTTCTGCTGATTATAAACCTTGGTAATTGCTCTGGTTCATAAGCTTGCTGATTAGGAGACTAACATTGATTTCCTGGATTGTAGAAGATTAATGTTCTCAGTTTCAATGTTTCAGGGGTCATATAGTGAAAATTTTCATGCTTGTGCTGTATAAAATAATCAATTAAATCTAGTGTGTTGTGATGTTAGTGGGAATGGTTGCCATCAATTGGTACTGAGGTGTACAAGTCAAAAGTGCATGTATTGTTTAGGATGCTCTCAAATGTCAATGCGTATTGTGATTTTATTTTAGTGATATTTAGATGAATTATTTTTTATTGCTGTGACTAAAGGAATGCACTATAATATATTTATGAGTAAACTTTACCAGAACTACTACTTTTACAGTAAAGTTATCACAATCTGTGCCACCTCATAGAACTGCACATTTAGAGTCGATTGTACCATGAAACTACATATTTAAATCTATGTATCAGTCTCAACAAACTGAATATTCAGTATCAAATAGTATCGCAAAACTACATATTTACAGTCAATTGTATTTTGAAACCACATTTAATCTATATGCATCTGTGTGCCACCAAACTGAGTATTTGGAATAGTATCACAAAACCAGAGATTTAGAGGACAGAATCCTGGGTACCTGTAGGTGTTTAAATCTTCTAAAGGAAAACATTAAGTTTGGTAGTTTTGTGGTAAGCTGACTTCAATCTGTACTTCTGTGATAAGGTGGCTTAAGTATGTTGTTTTGTCAGAGTACCTGTAGTCTTGCGAAATTTACTCAATATTTATATCTCACACACATTTAAGGGAAGGGGTCTTAATTCAAGTTGCAACTTTCCAATTCTATGTATGGATAACCAGATGCTCTCAAATCTGGATCCACCTGAACTTATGATTTCTTACATTAGCACGGTTGTTAAAAATGTTTCCATTTCCATCCGTGTAAGGGGGAAAATGAGAATAACATTTGCATAAATCATGACATGGGACATGTGGTAAAGTATCCTTCATGTATTTTTTTAACCAAATGTATGTTGGACACGTACGAGGTGGAAACCACCTTGCTTTGAAAAGATGAAATCTGTTGTCAGGAGTGTCCTATTTTATTGCAGGTAGTAACAAAAACTTCTGCTAAAAAACACTGCTTGCAATAAGATCAAACTATATTTGCATCCTTAAGTTCTCAACTCTTGAAAGTTATGTTGTTTTTCACTTTATTTGCCCCAGTGCCTACATGTATTAGCTATAATGTCTTCAGTACATTATGAGAATGTACTATAGATCACTGCTTACTATCTGCTCAACTTCTTTATTAGCATTTTGTATTGGAGGAAGGGATGCTTGAGGTTGACTGTCCATGTGTGACACCAGAAGTTGTCTTGAAAGCCTCTGGACATGTTGATAAATTTACAGACTTAATGGTTAAAGATGAAAAGACAGGCAACTGCTACCGTGCGGATCATTTGCTGAAGGATTTCTGTAAGGATAAGCTTGAGAAGGATCACACATTGTCACAAAAAATGCTAGAAGAATACAATAGAGTTCTTGCTATCCTGGATGATCTCTCTGCAGAACAATTGGGTGCTAAGATTAAGGAGTATGGGATTGTTGCTCCGGACACCAAGAACCCATTATCAGATCCGTACCCTTTCAATCTCATGTTTCAAACTTCCATTGGACCATCAGGTTTGAGCCCAGGGTAAGACAATAATGGCTGAATAAATTCCACTATATTTCCACTATGTTCGTTCTAGCTTAGTGCATCTGCTTCCTTGGTTTTACAGGTATATGAGGCCAGAGACAGCTCAGGGTATATTTGTGAACTTCAAAGACTTGTATTACTATAATGGCAACAAGCTGCCATTCGCTGCAGCCCAAATTGGTCAAGCCTTCAGGAATGAGGCATGATTTCGTTAAGCTTCTGTTCATGACCTGTGTTTTTTATTAACATATCTTGTAGTATTTAGTTCCTCTTATTAACATATTTGCCATCATAAATGTAATGTGGCACATCAAAGGTTATCATGGTTTGTTTGGTACACTTAAAGCCATCTTCTATTTACTAAGGTATCCAGATAGTATAAAATATTATTTGAATAACCTGTTCACTATTTAGGTAAACTGGAAAGTAAAATGGGAATGATCACATTAATTGCCTTTAGCTGTAAGCCTGTAACCGTAGAGCCCTACTAAAATACTCTCTCGACTGAAGCAAATTTCTTTTGCTAGATATCTCCCCGTCAAGGCCTTCTGAGAGTCCGTGAGTTTACTTTAGCGGAAATTGAGCACTTTGTGGACCCAGAGGACAAATCCCATCCAAAGTTTGGTGATGTTTCTGATCTAGAGTTCTTGATGTTTCCAAGAGAGGATCAAATGGCCGGAAGGTCAGCCACAAGACTTAAACTCAGAAATGCTGTATCTGAGGTATTATGTTAAGATATTTCTCTGTTATTTATTTTGACAGTATGTTATCTGAGCTCTTCTTTTGCTACTATTGATATAATTTTCTAAACCTGTGCTGTTTCAATGTAATTTATGCTACAACTGCAGGGAACTGTGAACAATGAGACCCTTGGCTACTTCATTGGAAGGGTCTACCTTTTCTTGACACAACTTGGGATTGACAAAGATCGTCTCCGTTTCCGTCAACATCTGCCAAATGAAATGGCTCATTATGCTGCTGATTGTTGGGATGCAGAGATTGAATGCTCCTATGGTTGGATTGAGTGTGTTGGAATTGCTGATAGGTCTGCCTTTGACTTACGTGCCCACTCGGTATGTATCAGTATCATCATCGAATATGTACACTCTTGGAATTGCTGGTTGGTTTTTCATTATATTATCAAGCTAAGGAGCAAGGAGCGGTGCATCTCTTATTTTTGAATTAAATAAAGTTATTACTCTTTTAAAAAACCCCATCCTTATTATCGTCAAATAGTTATTGCTATGAAAAGGTAGCCTTCTTTGTTTTTGTGTTGTACAATTAAATAGTTAAACAATAATTGAGTTCGATAACTAAAGCTCTGACTTTATTTGCCCCATTCTGAAATTTTCTTTTGCACCTACATCATAATAGAACTCCTTTCTAATGTTGGTATTGGACAGGATAAAAGCGGCGAGAAACTTGAAGCACATGAGAAGTTTTCAGAACCCAGAGAAGTGGAGGTGAGTTTTACATTTCCTTTTAGGGGCAATTTACTTGTTGTCAAATTCTAGTAAAATCCTAACAAAATAGCAACAAAATTAACTCAAATGCCAACTATAACTCGAAATATATTTGAATCCACTCAAAATTTGATAACAATGCAGTCCAAATAGTCATAATAGGTCCATATTTGCAAATTCATTTAAAAAACAGGGGCAACAATGCAAGGGCAAAAGTGTCTTTTCAGTCTTGACTTAACACCGTTACAGACCATAGACGGAGCAGGGGCATGCCGTTGCTTCAGGTTTGAAAAACAGGGGCAATCTTGCAAAGTGGAAAAAACAGGGGCAAATGAGTAGTTGGAGTTCAAAACAGGAGCATCCATGCAATTGGGCATGCCGTTGCTTCAGGTTTGAAAAACAGGGGCAATCTTGCAAAGTGGAAAAAACAAGGGCAAATGAGTAGTTGGAGTTCAAAACAGGGGCATCCATGCAATTGCCCCTTCCTTTTATTGTACACCAATGTTTTCAGTCATTATTTTCCTCTAAAAAATGTTTCAGTCATTATCATAGCTATGAAGCTGTGATGTTTTGGTCAGTTTCTTAAATTATCTGCTTTGCTATTAACAAGTTTCATTTTGGCATATTCAGAAATTAGTTATAACACCATCAAAGAAGGAACTTGGTCTTGCATTCAAAGGGAACCAGAAGATGGTTCTTGAATCATTGGAAGTAAGTTTCATACCTGCATTGACTTGTTATATTATGTTCTTGTTGCGTTGATCTTCATTTACTTTATTATCTTCTTACAGGCCATGACTGAGACCGAAGCTTTGGATATGAAAGCTGTGTTGGAATCCAAGGGGGAGGTTGAGTTCAAGGTGTGTACTCTTGGGAAGGATGTTACCATAAAGAAAAACATGGTTTCAATTAACATCGAGAAGAAAAAGGAACACCAAAGAAAATTTACTCCTTCTGTTATAGAACCATCTTTTGGGATTGGGCGCATTATATACTGCCTTTTCGAGCACTGCTTCTACCAAAGGCCTGGAAAGACAGAGGATGAGCAGTTAAACATATTCCGTTTTCCCCCTCTTGTTGCTCCAATAAAGTGCACTGTCTTTCCATTGGTCAAGCTTGAGAAATTTGAGGTTGTTGCCAAGAAAATTTCAAAGGCCTTGACAGCAGCAGGGATTTCACATATTATCGACATGACAGGTACATGACCAAATAAGTAGACTTGTGCTTATGTTCTATGGCACTTTTATCTAAGTTCTACTTTTCATATCTTGTTAGGTTTTTTTGGCAACTTGTACATTTGAAGTTGTAATAGATAAGACGTAGCTTTCCATGTTTTCTTGGTTGATTGTTAAGTTGGTTATGTCTCTTAGGCCCCGTTTGGATCCACCTAGCTAACTATTAGCTGTGTTAGCTGGGAGAAACCATGTAACAGCTAATTGTCAGCTGTGTGATAGACTGATAGGTAAGACATTAGCTGGCTTATTAGCTGAGGTTCTAGGACCTCAGCTAATTTTTAGCAGCTAACTATTAGCTATGCAGGATCCAAACATTGCCCCTAGTAGTTCATTTTTTCTAAATCTTATGCTGTTGGACTCAGATGTGCTTGCTCTTCTTCCTTTTTCCAGAATATTTTGATTGAATGAAACAAAGCATGGAATTTGTTCTTTGAGATAAAGTTATTGAGGCGGGTCCAATGCTGCAATTAAGGTCTAAGTTTCAATCCTTCTGATCCGTGGATGCTTTTGTTACAGGTAATACAATAGGAAAACGGTATGCAAGGACGGACGAGATTGGTGTCCCCCTGGCGATCACTGTCGATAACACTACAAGCGTGACGGTGCGCGATCGTGACAGCAAGGACCAGATCCGCGTGGAGGTGGATGAGGTGGCCTCGGTGGTGAAGGAAGTGACGGACGGGCAGAGCACCTGGGCTGACATCATGTGGAGGTACCCGGCGCATACCACCTCGGCAGCCGACGAGGAAGAGGCAGAGCCCTGAAGAGGCGCAGCCACAACACCACCCAACAATCGTTGGTCCCTGATACAGTTCCTTCCTTTCTTAACAGAAACATAATGCGTTGTCGTGTAAACCTACAGTAGCCAGATTCCTGAACATTTTAGTTTCCACAAACAAACAGTAGCTTCTTTGTTATGTTGGACTCGTAAATTCTGCTACCTCATTTCATCCTGTGTCACCCCTGATGAACTGTATTGTTTGCTAGCTTGAAATGTGCACGGTCCTGGTTGAGTAGTCACGAGCGAGCGCCAGCAGAATTGCAGTTATGTTGAGGCTCCACTTGTCATTGGTACAAAGCCTACCCTTTTTTTATTGGCGATGCAATCTCATTTGAAAGCAGGCTAGCCAGAGGATTTAGGCCCAATAAAGTAAAGCCAAAAGCCCATACAGCCAAACTGGGCTACTGATATTGGGCCAGCGTAGCCCACCGCCCCCAACCCATATTTTTCCTCCGCCTCGTGTTTCCACTAGTCTCTCTCTCTCTCTCTCTCTCTCTCTCTGCCTCCGTGCGTCGTGCGTCCAGGCGCGAACCCTAGCCGAGATTAGATCACCGAAGGAGGCGGAGAAGAGCAAGAGGACGACACGATGCTGCGGGTTGCGGGGAGAAGGCTCTCGTCTTCCCTCTCCTGGCGCCCCGCCGCGGCGGCGGCGGCCAGGGCCCCCCTTGCCGGCGCTGGCGCCCCCGACCGGGACGACGACTCGGCTCGCTGCCTGAGCCAGCCGCGGTTCTCCATCGACTCCCCCTTCTTTGTCGCTGCCAGGGGTAAGCGCGCGCGCCCTTCCGCCTGATTCCCTTGTCTCCGTGTAGATTTGGCTCGGATTGGGATCGGGATCGGGATCCATCGGGCTTGATCTGCGATACGAGGATTGCCAGTTTTGCGAAGTTGTGGATGATTGTTTGGGTTCTCGATGATGGCGTGGTTCTGTTTAGCCTAAAGCCTGCATAGGATATGCTGATTGTTACTGTGATTATAGTATTATAGAGAATGAACATTTCATTGATAAAACACAAGGTCCTTCCGCCTTCTCATGTTGGTTTGCCTTGGATGAGGATCAGAATCCTCGAGTTCTGGAGGGTTCCTTGTTCTGCAAAACAAGTATATACCCTTGAGATGGGTGGTCTATGTTCTGATGGATGCCCTAGTTTACCCCGAAAACCTTGATATTTGTGTGTTGGGGCTTTGCACTCACCTGTCTTCCCTTTACTTGCTATGTTGTAGTGATCATTCTAGCATGGATTAATCTTGCTACATGTCGTTGTACCAGTGGACTATGTTTATTTGAATTGAGATATATTACTAAAATCTGCAAACCTAAGTGTTGTTACCATGAGAAACTGTGGTAATAATTCTGATCTGAATCAGTCTTGTGAACGATAGATGGGCAAGATTTCAACTGGTACAAAAAAAAGGTCATACCAAGCTCAAAGCTCCCACTAGTTGGGTCTTGGTAAAGGAATTTTGTAGGCAGCCTTACCCTTAACTAATTCTGCAAGGAGGCTGATTTGAACCCCGAACCTTCATGACACAAATGAGAGACTCTTTCCACTGCACTAGTGCTGCCCTTCGTATATGACTAAAATCTGAATCTAAAACTGCAAGGTTTGTTAGCACCAGAGAGCTGGCGCTCACAAAGGTAGTATTTATTTATTTAGACTAGTGTCTATTTGCTCAGTTTATTTGTAACTTCTCTTATAAATGAGTATTTTGGAGCAACTAGAGAAAACACATAATATGTATGGAAGATCAGAAATGTACACGAGAACTATGTGTACTGATGGTGGGAAGAGAAACATATGTATATTTAGAGTCTTGGGAGGTGGTGCAGTGACTTTATGATATCTTGGCCACACGTGTGGAGGTTGAAGCGGCGAGGTAGTATCGTTGTGTCTTGTCGTCTTGAGTAGTAGGGTTGTAAGGAAATCTCCTTTGACCATACAAACTCCCACCAAGATCCTTCAGACCACAATAATAATCCCTCACCATTTGACCTCCTTGTGTGATTGGGGTGCCTTTGCCAAAGACATTTCGTTGTTGCTGCATCATCTCCCAACACTCTAATTCTCATCTGTTTCCTTTTCTCCATTTTCTGTACATATAGCTCTCCCATAAATTTCTTATCTTTCTTACATACTATAAGTGTGTGTTTTATCTAATGCTATATGCTTTCTATTTCCGTGAGAAGTTGAAACTAAACAGAAGTGAAAACGTTGCTTGTTAAATGATGCTTTGAACAAACAAATGGTCCCTAAAGAACTAGTTTTAGAGTTTTGTCGGTATATTTAGAGGATATGTAGATCAATGATCTCTGCAACTATTGTAAAGAAATCATTATCAGTTCTGTTGTAAAGAAAGTGGTATTAATTGAGTTATTAAGAAGCTTTCTGGTGCTTATGGCACTTGTATGCAGCTCCAGATTTTATCGATATTCCTCAATTTCCTTTGAATGATTTGACTCTTAACTGAAGACTTTTGTTTCTGTCCAGAGACCATCTTCATACTTCTATTCCCTTGATTTTAGCATGTCGGTAACAGCTTGCTAAATTGATGGTGAATTTGGTTACTATCATGACAGTGCTGTACTATTACATTAATTTGAGGATACAATTACAGGCATAGTCACAAGAAAAAAAAAAGAGCTAGTATCTGAACTTCTGATTTTACTGCATTTGTCATGTTTTGTGCAAGTCTAATTTTACTGCTTGGATGGCTTCCCTTGTTTCCTAATGTTCTAGAGACCTAAATATTCCTGTCGTTACTTGTGTCATGTCACCTTTGGTGATTTACTTGTGTTATTGTGCTGCAAATGACAATCTAGTGTGTATATATCTGTTTCTCCTGGTCCTGCTGGCAAGGACCACAACAGTGGGCACTGTCTTAAAGGTTAAAGAAATAGTTTATGGTACTTGCTTGTTTTAAAAATATTCCTCATTTTTCTGTTTGTCCAAGAATAGCATATGCCTGTTATTACTAAGATCAATAGTAGGCCAAGTAAAAGAATACTGGAGCACATGTGGTTCCTTCATGTTCCAACTTTATGGGATGCATATATTACTCAGTGTTGCCATTTAATTCCATGTAATGCTTCACTGGATTTATCCAAACGTAGCCCATGTTGATATACCTTTTACTTGTCTGGAGGTTGAATGCTCTGCTATCGTTTGTTCTTTGTTTATATCTGCACATGGGTTGCGTGACAGTTTTTTCTTACTCTATGTAGGTTTCTCTTCAACTGAAACACTTGTCCCAAGGAACCAAGATGCTGGCTTCCCAGCAACTGTGGCTGCTGTGAAGAATCCTAACCCTAAGGTGGTTTATGATGAGTACAACCATGAAAGATATCCTCCTGGAGATCCCAGCAAGCGTGCCTTTGCTTACTTTGTCCTGAGTGGTGGGAGGTTCATATACGCATCACTGCTGCGTCTCCTCATATTGAAGTTTGTCCTGAGCATGTCAGCAAGTAAGGACGTGCTTGCCCTTGCTTCAATTGAGGTGGACCTCTCCAGCATCGAGCCAGGGACCACAGTGACCGTGAAGTGGCGTGGAAAACCAGTCTTCATCAGACGGCGGACGGAGGATGACATCAAGCTTGCCAACAGTGTGGACGTGGCATCCCTGCGCCACCCAGAGCAGGACGCAGAGCGTGTGAAGAACCCTGAGTGGCTGGTGGTCATTGGCGTGTGCACTCACCTCGGCTGCATCCCACTGCCAAATGCAGGAGACTTTGGCGGTTGGTTCTGCCCATGCCATGGTTCCCACTATGACATTTCTGGGAGGATCCGCAAGGGCCCTGCGCCGTTCAACCTCGAGGTCCCGACCTACAGTTTCATGGAGGAGAACAAACTGCTCATAGGCTAAGAGCTCAAAAACCACCTGTCTATTTATCTACTTCACTCAGGTGAATCCCTGCTGTGCTGTTATATTGTTTCTTCTTTTTATGGTTTGGCTAAATTTTTTGCTTCACGAGGATCATTGCCATGCCTTGATGGTGGACTGTTATCTGCCAAAGTGCATTTTTCAAGTACAAAATAATGTGATACTGTGCTGCTACTAAAATGTAAGTTGGAAGTCATTTGGAACTTCATTTTTCTGGGATACCGTAGGAAGGATATTGGTTACATCGTTCTGGCACATTATCGTGTGAAGAATAAGCACTCACTATTATTTTTTTGATTCGTCCTGTCTGATGTGAAGTAAGGGTGAAAGGGTGTTCTTGGATTGAGGAATAAGTTAGTCCATCATCTACCCATTTCACTTTTTTTGTTGTTTGGTTTATGGGATGGAATAGGTTGATGTATCATCACCTCATTCCTTATAAGCCAATTAGTACAGTATAAGAAATGGAGTCATTCCACCAAATTTGAGGAATGGGTTCATGATGGGCCACCTCATCTGAGATGAAGTGATTCCTCAAACCAAACACACCCTGAATGAACTGGTTACTAGTTATAGTTTTGCCTTGGATGTGTGGGGTCGAATTACATGAGCTCGCTGATTGTACCGTGTTGATGCTATTGTGGAATGACATATACTTCCTCTGTCTCACAATAATAGTTGTATTGGGTACCCACGGTGATGGCATTCTCTCCTGCGCTTCTCCAACCCTGGTGCTCCAGCGTCCGATGCCACTCCTCCACTTAGGAGTGCTTGTGACCTAAGATGAGTTGGAAGAGATAATGTTGCACTAGTGGATGGTAGGATCGGTAGTCTACAATGACATTTTTTATGGGACAAAATTTGAATCACGGAACAACAATTATTATGGAACGAAGAGAGTATTCCGCTTCTACTGCCGGTAGTGATACGATAACTGATGAGGCAATCTTCATGTGGCGTTCTTGTCTGCTACGGCCGATGACAACACGTTCAGGTTGTGGGCTTATGGCCGACAAACATGGAAGCAAGATCATGACAAGACGACTGCGGGTCTGCCAACATTTAGAGTCATGCCGTGTGATCAAATGGTTAACATGTCCGGCCTAGAAAGAATACAATTATAGCATAGTGTTATGTTCTAGTACATTAAGTTTGACTAGTTATAAATAATAGTATTAATATTTATGATACCAAATAAATATTTATGATACCAAAAGTATCAATATTTACGAAAGACTCATTTTATATATTCAAACTGAACTCAAATCAAGGTCCTATCATGCTTAGAGGCTCAGAAACCTTGTAGACCTCGAGTTCTTTAGCCGTGTTGCTTTTTAGATAAAAGAATCTGAATCTGGTTTCATCCCTAGCAAGCAAGTGAAATTACACTTCGTCCCTAGCAAACAAGAGAAACTTACTATAAAAGTTTAACTCAACACATAACAAGCATAACTTAAAACTCAATTATAGGATTATTTGGACATTAAAAGAAAGCACAAAATGCATTGCAGTTGCTTCCCGCGCTCGACAAACTTAGAAAATGTGCTTATCATTATCTTTACACACAGTATTGCAAGTACGTCTAATATTGTAACCATAAGTCCATAACCAGTGTGTTACCCTAATAAACAATTTCCATCTTGGGTTGCTAAACAACTACACGCATATTTATATACCGAAACATAAACGTAAACAGAAGGCAAAATATTTTCTAGGGATCGGAGAGTATACACATACGTGGCAAAGTAGAATTACGTATCGTGATAACGAAGAAACTAGGTACTCAAACCGCACATGGCCACTCGATGAACTCGTCAACTGTCAGCCGGCGTCCAACTCGACGGTCCAAGGGGAAGGCTTCAACGGTAGCGTCAAGGAAAAGCGTGTCCACGCTGAATTCCGGGTGCCCTCACCCATGATTTCGATCGCTCACGGTTAATGCAAATCCTAGACAACAGTATGATTTATAAAAAACATGTTCAACGGTAATCAATATGGCACCTGCGATAGTGACATAAGTGTTTATTTAACACATATGATAGAATAAAGGGAAGCCTGGCCCTCCGAAATATCCGATATCCTTATATTTTTTCTGTAAATATGGATATTCATATCCGTATTCAATTTAAATATGAATGTTAAAGAAATGTATCCGCATTTGTTTTTGAAGATTATTCTTTATTCGATTCTACATCCGTATTCAACAAAAAAATATAAAGGCAAATTTTGCTAAGGGGCACTAGAAAAACGTGTAATTAACCGGCACACACCGCCAAACGGAGAATTTGCCCAAAGACACCGTAAATTCGTGGTTGTTTGCTCACACACCACATCAATTATTTTATTCATTTCTCAGTTTTAAAAAAAGAAGGTAGGAAAAATGTCAAAACTGCACTCGTCTTCGACCTCCGGCTATACACTGAAATTTGCCATGGCACACCGCCAGTTGTGTAAGGAGCCGGAGCGGCAGCCGGCGCAGTGGTGGCCGGAGAACACCGACGAACAGCGGAGTAGGTCGAGCAAGGCCGCGCGTACTCGTTGGTGCGGTTCATGACACCTGAATAGGAGCTGGTCGCGGCTGCTCCTGCAATGAGCGGAGCTCGGCGGCGATGGAGACACGACGAGGTTGAAGGCGAGGCATCCGGCTCAAATTGGCACAGAAAGGAGGATGGGTGGCCGCGGCGTGCTCTTGTGGTGTCAACGGAAGAAACGGGGAGGTTTTTGTTGTTGTGTGCGCAGAGATCGGCGAACTCCGGCGAGCTCCCTGGCCAGCGTGGCTGGGGGCGCTACCACTAGGTCGGCGCGGCTGGGGGCGCGGTGGCGGGGCCACCCAGATCGACGCGGCTGGGGGCGCGGTGACGCGGCCACCCAGGCCGCACGGCTGGGGCGCGGTTGCGGGGCCACCCATGCCGACGCGATGGCACGGCCACCTAGGGCGGCGTGGCTGGGGGCGCGGTGGCGCGGCCACCCAGGCTGGCGTGGTTCCAAGGAGGAAGAAAGTCCATTTGCAGAAGGAAAAAGTCCGTTTTTGACCCTCCAACTATGACAGCAGTTTGGTTTTAGCCCTTCAACTTCAAAACCAGACACCCGCAATCTATCAACTCTGTAAACCAAATAGAAATGGCCATCGCGCCGGCGCGACGGCGGTTTCCGCCCGGTCAACCCGCGACGACCGCGGTATTGGGCCTTTTTCATTTTCTATCCCTTCGCAGGCCCCGCCTGTCGGGCCTTAGAGAGAGAGGGAGAGGGAGAGAGGGAGAGCAGAGCGGCGGAGGGGACGGAGGCAGAGCAGAGCGAGAGAGATGGAAGGGGCAGGGGCGAGCGAGCTCTACTTCTCTTTGGCTGCTTGCTCCAGCGCAGCCCTTGCCCTCGCCGTGCGTGGGCCCGACCCTCGCCTGCGAAACTCCAAGCTCGAGCTCGAGCTCGCACACGCACGGCACGGACCCGCCGAAGGCAAGCGCCGACCGCACCGCAGGACGCCGGAGCCGCGCTTGCCGAAGCTGCCCTCGCCCAGCCCACTGGACCACCATCTGCGCCGCAGCGACTAGATCCACCGAGCGCCGCAGAGGCGCTGACGCAACAGCCAAGCACCGCCGTCGTGCTACTTTATTTTCCCCTCCGTTGCCGCAGACTACGCGTGCGGCGCCGCCGCCTGCAACTCCTCAGACGGGCCAGACGCTCGCGCGCGTGCGGGTGCGTCGCCGGGAGTGGCGCAGAAGCGCCGTGGCGACGAGCCCAAAGAGCACCGGAGCTTCGGAGGCCGCCGGCTCGGCCTAATGGAGCTCGATGGACGGTTTAGGCGGGCGGCTTGCCGGCATGCGTCGAGCCGCGCGGGAGAGCATGTACCATGACTTCGAGTCCTCTTCCCGTCGCGCTGGACTTTGAGCTTCCTATCACCGGCGCGGCGAAGCGGGACGTGGGGCCCACGGGCGCAGCGAAAGGTGGCACCGCGCGGCGGCGCAGCGAAGCGGTGAGCAGGACGCAGCCAGAGCTCCATGGCGTCGAAGGGCGGGCGTGCGGGGAGGGTGGGCGTCGAGGCCGCGATAGGACCTCCAGCGACAGCTCGAACTCAGCACTGCGTGCGGCGTCGGCGTCGGTGTAGTAGGAGCCCACAACTCGTCACATCGCCTCACCAAGCTTGGAGGATCGAGCTCGAGTTCGAGCACGCCGTAGCTCCGCCTCATCCTGCAATGGCTACCGCGTAGGGGCTCCACGTCTTTGTTCTCCTCTCTTTATGCTGCCCGGCTGCAGCAGTCAGCTCCACGCCGGAGCCTAGAGCCGCCGGTGCTGAAGCCGCCGACGCCGGAGATGGGCTACTCCAGCCCACAGGCGCTCGCGCCTCGAGCCGCCATAGCACCGACGCCCTACGCCGCACCGGGAGCCCCGCCCTTTGCCTTCCTCGCCTAGGCCGTCGCTGCCGGCACCAAGGCCATCACCGCCACCACCCTCTCTCTGCTCTCTCCTTCTCTTCCCCCTCGCTCTGCTATCTCTCTCTCTCTCAGTTGGAAACAGGGGACGCTAGCGCGGGAAACCGCCCCTACACGCCGGAGTTTGCAGCTGCCGCATCCCCAGCCCTGCGCGCTATTCTCTCCTTGCTATCTCCCTCCCTCAATTTTTTCATCACGCTGGGGATGCGGCGGCTGCAAACTCTCCGTGTGTAGGCGTTTTCAAATCTCTCCTGCTTTCCGAGAGAGAGAGAGAGAGATAGAGAGAGAGAGGGGAAGAGAAGAAGAGAGAGAGAGGCGGGGTGGCGGTTCTCTCCTTTGCTATCTCCCTCCCTAGGCGCAAAGGGCGGGCGGCGGCGAGGGCGCCGTGCTATGGCGGCTCTTCTCTCCTTGCTATCTCCCTCCTCAATTTATGGACGGACGCGTTCAAGCCCAACGACGCCCCACGCCGCACCGAGAGCGAAGTTCTCGCTCGCTACTCGCTCGCCGGCGCCCCGCCTTCCATCTCTCTCGCTCTGCTCTGCCTCCGTCCCCTCT